GGGGGTCGGACTTGATGATCTGCTCAGGTCCCTTCCGACCCTACCAACTACGAAACTATGAAACTATGTATTCAGTCATCATGAAGGAGCTAAGAAGTGTCTAAATAGGTGTGAAATTCTAAGACCTGGACCATTAGTATGGAAATAGCTAAACAGAAATGGATATACAAGACAAAGAAGGGAAACTTCCCTATTCAGTTTTGTATTTTTATTTAGAGTATTTTACTTCAGCTCCTTATGGCCTGTCCCCTACTTCCTTATTAACCACCTACTCTTTCTATTGGGACACTGAACTCTGAAATATGGCCAATTAAGGGATTCTGCTACCATAAGTTCCCAATTAGAGAAAAATGCCAGGGGTAGAGTGTTCTTAGCATTTTATCTAATTGTTCCTATTTATGATTCTTCTTTTGGGACCATAAGAAATCTCAGACACTTCCTGCATAAGCAATGCCATTTATTGAAATGTAAAAAATAAACTGTTAATATTTGCCTTTTAAGCAGTTAAGTGTTAGGATAGGTAGGGCAGATACTGGGCAAAGAGAACTGTAGAGCAACATATGGATTCAGACAAGACTCTGAATAAGAAAGTAACATGATTACACTGTGCATGTAGGCTGCAGTTAATTCAATTTTGAGGTTAGTAATCATTAGAACTAAGGCCACAATCCCAGTTTTATTTAAAAGATTAATTTTATAAAAACAGAAACTTGCTAAACTGATCAAGGCAGTCAGTTGCAGATGCAGTCAGTATATTGTAGGCACAGAGGTGATGAATTCAGTATAAGAACCTGCAGAACAGAATAATATATTGCATTGTGGGAGTACAAAGGCTTGTCACAGTCTTTTAAAAAAGTTTTAAGCTTAGCACCAGCTGTGGTAATACTACTCTTTGGCCCTCTAAGTAGTGAAGATCATTTGATTAATGTTCATGACCTGTCACCAATTCACATCCAACAAGTTTAAATAAAACACGTTTCCCTGAAGAAAATAATGAAGCTGGAAATGCTATTTACTCCATCCTGGCTGTAGTGAGCATAGGAGATCCCAGCTGGGTATCATATATTCATGCTTCCACTTTGCTCATTTGGTCAGTCTCCTGTATGAGCGGCCCAGGTATGAGTCTACTAGCCCATTTTGTTCCATGTGGGCAAAATGCCCTAGGTCACTCTGAGCCTAAAGGATTCAGTGGAGAAGCAAATCTCTTTAATTTTTCAGTCCCAGTTCCTGAGAGATGCTGCTGGACAGCAAATACAATTTATATTGACATAAGTGGGTTAGCTGTTGGCCCTCAAGGAATTGCATAGGACTTGGCTGCATAGTCTCTGCTTGAGAAAACAGCTGCATCGGAAAACCCTGTGAAACCATTCCCCAAGCCAAACAAGCACCACTTCTAGCCTCTTATTTTATTTAATAATTTTGTACACAAATAATACGAATGAGTTTCAATTTTATTTCTCAGTGTAACACTCATTCTTCAAGATTTTGAAAGATAAAAGCAAACCATTTTTAAAGCAAATCACTCTATATAATAAGCAAGAGACCTAGCACTGTCCAGTAACACCACAGAAAGGATAGTTTTAGAAATGTATGTGCTACAGGTTATGCACATGCACATGAATATACACCCTATACAGCACTGTAGCTGTCATCCAGCCATACTGGATGGGGTTAGCACCATTTTTAACAGCTGTTTTAAAGTGTCATAAACCATTAGCTGCAATGGGGTTTAAACTGCCTTGCACAAATGAAGAGGCCTGATATCTCACACAATGTCACACAAGACTTAAAGTGAAGAACAAAGCCCTTGGCTGGAAGTCACAAATGGTCCCATGCAGGTGAGTGGCTGTGCTTACCTACATGGTTCCAGTAACAAGCCTTAATTAGCACACTGAATCAGGTTTACAATGTCAGCCTACAAGTATGACTATTTACATTCCTACCCCTTTTTCCAGAGCAGCACTTCCATTCTTGGCTGTGTATTCTATCTTACAGCTGCATTAAACCAAGAAGTCCTTATACAACACATTCTGAAACTCTTTAGGACACTTCAGGGTAGGCTGGAGAATTGCATGCTCCCTTGAAGAGCTGAGGTGTGTTCAACTCCTGTTGAACTGTAATGGAACTTGAGCACCAAACCCTTGCATAATTCAAGAGACCCAATGTAGTTCTCACCCAAATCAGGTTCATCATTTGGTTCAATAGTGCCAGATCAGGCCCATTATCTTGATTAACAGATTCATACATGTTACATATTAGCTAATATATTTGCATCAATAGATTCCTGCCTAGAACTAAGTATTTATGAGATATCTTTTAAGCAGTTAAGTATCAAGCACTTTTTTGTTTAATATAATTTGATAATTAAATCCAGTCTACAAATACAAGTTCATAACCAACTGTGTTAAGAGGATGATGGTATTTTTGTGTTATCAGCCTTTCAAAAGGACAACAGTGAAGAAGCAATTTAAATAAACACAGTTGGCTCAAACAGATATTTTAAAAAAACCCACAAAACTAAGGGCCTCAGCTGACTTTGAGAGAGCTGTAATAACTTTTTCCACCACTTCGGCATTACAGAGTGACACCAACAGAAATAACTGATTCAGAGTGTGGAATATGTGGTAGAGATCTTTGTTATAGATTAAAGAGGATCATTTTGCACTGTTAAGTAATATTTGTTGAGCATTTGAGGCTCTTGGACCCAACTGCGACACATACTAGTATCAGCTGATATTTTAAGCTGCTTTGGGAGACTAAATTTCATTCTTTTTTTGCCAATGGAGAAAAACAAAAAGCATTACATTCATTTGAAGACAAAAAATTCCAGTAAGCGTGTTCCTGACCTGTAATACCTGCATGCATAGGATGATCCAGGAACAAACAGGGATTATAAATCATTCATGATTAATTTGCGACTCTCATAAAGGAAAGATTGAAGGAATAAATTGGAATAGATTGCCCTAAAAATGTATGTTTCCTTTTAATCCCAGTTTTCTATTTGAACTGGATGGATCAAAAAGAGAAAAAACACCTGGAAACAGAAGCCTTGATTAAATGCATCACATTCCAAACAGCTAGTGCCCAACAGGTCGGCTGTTCCTTTTTTTGATTAGAGCTGATTTTCTTCTAGGTTTAGCGTAGTGTTGTTCTTTCAGGTCTTCTGGCTGCTTCCCCTGTCTTGTTTTATTAGCAATTTGGGTCTGGCTGCATGTGAAGCAGCACTGAGTCTGTATGGATGGTATCAAACATTTGCCAATCTCTTTTAATTTTTGGCAGAAATGAACTGACATGTTGTCCTTGTTGCAAAGTAGGCCTGTAGCAAAGAACACAATGAAAGAGATTTATATTCTGTACATACAGGTGCATGTAGGTATTCAAGTGTCTAAGCTTGTGTGAACATATGGACAGGAGGCAAGTGGAACAAGTGAACTCTAAGGCAATTCATGCACGAGGGATGTTGACGACCGTGATCCAAACTAGGCTGTCCTGGTGCTCTCAGACTGAGCTGCATTGCCTCCAGATGCATTGTTCCAAATGAGCCAAGATAAAAACCATGATCATGTCATATATACCTCTCTCTGATGGCATTACTATCCCAATCATTCATTTTCCAGGCCTGTCTCGCTGCACTATTGTCACGGGATGAGGTCCCCAGGGATGGCTGCGATGCCCCTAGGGCCCCATGACCATACCAATCGGGCACCCTTTTCCTCACCTGACATGTCTTGTTGGAAATTATAATATAGGGAGGCTGCCCTAGAGTTTGTTTTGGACACGGTCCTGATGGACCTCACTGAACCCTGTGGGTTTTTTGGACCCTTTTTTTGGGTCCCTCTCAAAATGGTTGCCTCATGGGGCACCCTTAGGCTTATGGGCTAGATGCGTGGCTCCAAAACCACCCCTTTACCACACCCTAAGTCTTACAGATGGTATGTTAACATTGCCTCTCTGAGGCCTTGCTATCGCTCGGCCTCCTGTCCCCACCGGGCTTTCTGCACCACGTCCACACTGGTGTTAGGGTCTGCTCACCCCCTTTGTCACTGCACCCCTGGTGCTGGGGTCCCCACACTGTAATGGGCCCTGCAATGAGGCCTCCTCCTTCCCCAATAGCCTCAGCCCGATCCACCAGTTTATAAACAGAAATCAAAATATGAGCCCCTGGACTATAACATAATACAAGCAGCTCAGAGTGCACTCTGTCCCTTTAAAAGAGTCAAACTTCCCCCAGCACTAAGTGCCTTGCAGGCCATGGTTCCTGGTGAGCTCCTGAAGCCCCTTAGCCCTACCAGAAGCAGAACAGGCAGTCAAGCATCTCTAGTTAGCTTCCTCTATGACAGCTCCTCTCCCCTTGGCTGCTGACAGGGAACTCCGCAGTTTGTGTCAGCCCTGGGGTTTATGTGCGCCCAGGGCCCTGCCTCTTCCTGTCAGCTGACCTGCTGCAGATGTAGGCTAATTCCCTCATTAGCCTGCTGCCACAGTAACCCCCACCTGTGGGGTTCCTGCCTGACTGCTAGGGCCCTCTCCCTAGGCAGTTTCTGCGCTTAAAGGAGCAGGCACCTTCATGCCCTGTGACAACTATCCACTCAAGTGATGTTCCACAGACTCAAGGGCTGCTGGTTCCTTGCAGAGTAGGGAGGGAGGAGAGATGGACCACCCAATGCCCCCTCCTTTGGCTAGGTGGCCACTGCTATATGTCCAATGGGAAACGCACCCCTGCATGTGTGCGCTTGTCTGGATGTGCCCATGAAGGCCAGAGTTTCAGAAGAGCTCAGCACTGAGCCCAGGTTTTTGAGAGAGCTCAAAACACTGCATACACATTGGGTTATGAAACTCTTTTCAAAACGTTGCCCTCAGATTGTATTATCATACCTGGACTTTTCTTGCACTCCAGGAGATTGCATTTCTGAGATTCTGGAGGCTTGGGCTCATGCTCACACATACTTTGATTTTCAGTAGCATAGTTTTCTGTATTGACACACATTACTGCTCTTTGCTGAATACCTCCTCCACAGGACACGGTGCACTGAAAGACATACAGTAATACTGAATTATCCTTTGAAAGAGAACTGTGTGTTACATTTTTAGTGTGCCCATCAATCAGCAAAAAAAGCTGCTCTAACCTATGAGGTGTTAAAGTAAGAGAAAAAAAAATGATGCTTGATCAAAGTACTGTGTGTGCTAAGCTCCCTAGCCAAAGCATAGCTCCCATCATGCACCAGGCTCCAGTGGACCCATGATACATTGTGGGCAAATCAGCAAATCAGTTGACTGTGGTATAGTTTAGCTCAGGAGTGTGGCTTATAGAGGAGAAAGGAAGCATGATGGCTTGAACTGTGATCCCCATGAGGCAGCAACTCCAAATCAACAGTCGTCAGTTTTTGGTTTCTAATTTTTAATGCAAAATCAAAATTCTTAGCTGGGGGATGTGTTTTCCAACCAGTTATGTAAATGTAACTATATCCTACTGACTGCTCACCTCACTGTAGAAAGGCCTGACCATAAAGTTTGGAAAAAGCTCAGTGAGGTGCTTCTTTCCTTGGTGATATTTAAAATGCCACCAAATGTTTGCTCAAGGAAAAAGCAGCCCAGATGCTTGTGCTGCCTGCACACAGGTGCCAATGGAGAGAAATATTTTTTTACTACAATTTTCAATATAGTTTGGGGGTGTTAGGGTCCTTACCTCTTCATTCATCAAGTTTTGTGTGCGTTTGGTGGATATTAAAATTTATTTTCCCTTCTGAATGCGAAGTAGTTGGCAAGAGAAATCATAAATCCAGAAAATTACCTTCTAATCTTGTTTCCCTGAACCTTACAGAGATATATGAAGTCTACAAACAAGAATGTAGGTATTCTGAGACAGCTTCAGATAAATCTTTAAAATTGAGCTTATATTGAATAAAATAATAATAATACAGTCAGTACAGTACTCCTGGGATATTTATTTTGATATGAAATGCAATTAATTTTATAGTACTCCCCACACGTTCAGTTTCCAATAGAGCTCAGTGTCATCTTCAGATATTGGAGTTAAATCCTTTATAGAATACAGTATTTTTACCTCCTGGCTGCCTTCTGTAAATAAAGTAATGTATCAAATTTCTTGTTAACTGATTTCCAGATTTTTTTATTTTAAATTACCTGCAATACTGTATTGCATGGTATGTTTATACAACAGATGCTTTGTTATTATCTTGAAACATTACCTGAACCTCTATGCCTAACTGAACATACTTAAACTTACTCCTATATCCTTGCAGCTTTCTTCAACAGTAAATTTCATGTGATTAAGAATAGACTGAAAAGAAAAAAAATCCCTCAACAGATAATTAAAAATGAATTTCCTTTACTTAATAGCTATTTCCTTGGGGATATTTAAGATGCTGGGCAGAGGTGTGCAGGCAGCAGATCACGGCTCTGCCCCGGCTCTGGACCAAGTTGTTGCCAGTGCAGGATCCGAGCCCATGTGCTGGAGCAGCTCCCTGCCCAGCTGCATGCCCTGCCAGTGCTGGTAGGGCCAGTCTCCATGGAAACCCTGGCTCTGGGCTGTCAGGACACTGCCACTACTGGGTTTTCCATGGAAAGTGGCATGTGCAGGGGCTGTGGGGAAATGGAGTCCAACCACTGGCTAGAACCACCATTTTGCCCACCTGTGCTCTAGGAACTAGCTTGCCAGGGATACTGTATGTCATGAATACTGTGAATGATTAAAAAAGGGCTCAGTTTTGCCTCCCAAGGGGTGTGTGGACAGACATAAGATTTGAAGCGTTTTGAACAGCTCTGAAATGCCTTTAAAATATTTCAAACGGCTCTAGCATAGATGCACATGTGGGATAAAAATGCTCCCAAGCCTGACAAAAATATATCTGCAGGGAGCAACGATTATTTCATGCCATTTTGTTCTACGTGATGTTTACATGGGTTCCTCAGTCCTCTAGCATCCCACAGTACAATGCTCTCCACCCCCTTCATGGTCTTCCAGCATCTTGGCCACTGCTGCTCCCCTGTAAAGCACTGGGAGTGGTGCTGCTAAAGCCCTGCCATAGGGAGGAGACCCACAGTCCACTCCCAGTGCAAGACCCCTGCTGCAAGTCTCCAGTGTCCTCCCCACCAGACCTGGGGTTCCAGCCCTCCAATCTCCACATTTCTTCATCCCAGCAGGGGGCCTTCAAGGAGCGAGGAGAGCATTTATTAATGTTGACCTGCTCCTCCCTTCTTTTCCTATGGGGGGTGGGAAGGACCACAATGCCAGGAGATGTGGGTTGTGGAGCTGCACTCTCTCTGCTCCACCACCACATGTTGCTGCAACCCCCTGTTATGTCCCTAGCTGGGAAGCATGTTGCTGCACACAGCAACGCTGATTTTAAAGTGCTTTGGCCTGGGGCAGGGGCATGACAGGGGCTGTATATGGGTCGAGTAGCTGAAATGGTACATTTTTTAAATGTTCCCAAGCCTTTTACACTTGGAAATGTTTCAAATGTTATGACTGTTTCCATCCTAAGAAAGCCTGGATTCCCTTGCCAGCTCTGTGATTCTGTAATTCATTGACTAGGGCCTCACTCTTGGAGTTCAGCCATTGGTTTTAATGTGAACAAGGATGACTGAGTCAGACAAAATTATTAGCAATTTCCTTTATGTTTCTCTGCATCAGATACAGTTTTTGAAATTGGAGCTAAAATTAGTCAAACCCATGCTCTGTGTCTAAAGTGGATGATTTTTTTTGTGGTAGATGCTATTATATATTGTTGCATACGAATCATAAGCCAAAAGGGCGAGAATTGAATCTTACTGAATTCCACGTCCCGTTAACCCACTGTGTACAAGGTTGCTCTCTGCAAGGCGCAGTGGAGTTGGGCCTTTTCATCCAGTCACAGTAGTCCTCAACTGGGCAGTAAACATGTCTTTCTTGCCAGCCTCCACCACATGTTCTTGAACACTAAGGTAAAATTGTGCGCAAAAAAAAGTAGAAAGAAAGTAGTTTTGGGTCCCAACACAAAATGAAGTGAAAAGCAAGAAACATTTATTTTATAAATGCAGGATCATTGAAAAGGTAACAAGAGCATTCTTTTGAAATATTTCATGTGATATTAGCAAGGGCAGCTTAGTACAGGCATGAGATCTGATGACCAAAAGATGACGATAGCCATGTTAATGATCCTCATTCATACTGACAAAAAGCCAGGAAAGAGGAATAAGGAATACTAGACAGAATAGCAGTAAAAAGATCACCCCTCACATGTATAGTAGAAGTTATATAAGAGTACTCAGATTTGGTATGGCATGGATGACTTATATAGCACAAGTTAGAAAGTAAGTCATGGTTTTTACATGGGATTTGCAGGATTTTGCAAGACTTTCATATGAAATTATTGCTCACTGGGACAAATGTATGAGATGCAAGGGCCCACCTTCATGAGACAGTTAGGGATATGAAAATTTATCCAGCATATACTAACAAGCTAGCTATAAAATGGAAATAAAAAGCAACAAAGACAAACTATGATTAAAAAAAAAAATTGTACCTGCTTTTATAAGTAAACAGAGGCAGAAATATGTTGGATAACATTTTGCTCTTGATTTTCATGGAATTTTTGATGAGCTGCTTTCTATAAAGAGAGCTGCTCTCCCTGCAAGGTGAACAGCATCAGCATTGACACACACGCTAAATAGAACAGAATATTACCCTTAAATCAGATTTTAGGGAGTGATGAGCCATATAATTTTTTCAGCATGAAAAATGCAGACATGGAGGTGCAATGAACTTTACAAGCCATCTTAAATAGAAAAAAGACAATGCTGGAAACTTTTGGGCAATTCCTATTCCCCATGCTTTGGTGGTTTAAACAGAACAGAATCTCTATCCATCCTGCACGCTGGATTTGGTATGCAAAACTGAAGCCCAGCAAATGAAATTTTATCAAGCCAAAACGAAACACCTTCAGTCCAGCTAGCATTTAAGCTTGGATTTTCCATAGACCCAAAGGAAATTAGATGATAATCCTTCATTGAATTTCAGTAGAATTTAGGTACAGAAGTGTCTTAGGATCATAGGAAAGCAGGGCTGGAAAGTACTTCATAAGGTCATCTAGTCCATCCCCCTGCTCACGTCAGGACTGTTCCTGACCAAACCATCTCAACTAAATGTCTGTCTAACCTGCTCTTGACAATTTTCAGGGATGGAAAGTCTGCAACTTAGCTACGTAGCCTGTTCCAAAGCTTGACCACTCTGAGTCAGAAAGTTCTCCCTAATCTCCAAACTAAATTTCCCCTGATGCAGCTTGAGTCTATTGCGTCTACTCCTGTCTGCTGTGGCCATAGAGAATAGCATATTTCCATCCTGTCTATAATTGCCCTTCAGGTATAATCATCGTTAGACACATTTGAAAATCCCAGCTTTAATTTTGAAGAAAAAATCTAAATTGGTTGTAGCAGGAAGATAATGCAGAATGGCAGCAGGAGGAAATAGGCTCAACTAGTAACCATTTTCTGGCATAATACTGTAGTTCAAACAAATCCTTATGAAAACAGCTTTTGCTGTTCAAATTCATGGCATGGACATTTACAGGCTTGGCTATATATGGTATGCAGCCCTATGAGTGGGGGATGGATTATTTCTATCCTAAGTATTGTGGGATCACAAACAGGGACCTCAGAGCCTGTGATTAGCAATTGCAATGTCTTCCTTGGAGGGTAAATTCACATAATAGCAGGAGACATAACAGTCATTTAGTAATTGACAGTTAATTGTTCATTTGAACAGCTTGTTTTATAGGACAATACCTCATTCCAGGGCTCCGCACGCCACTCCATGCAGGGCTCTGTATTACAACGGATGTTCAGCTGTGGTTTATGTCCTACTAATTGGCAATGAAAAGGCCTTAGAACTCGCTTATCATGAACATCTGTGCACTGAATATCACGGGTCCTGAAACCACCACCACAATTTGTAGAGCACTGTACACGGAACAGAAAGGAGCACATCTTTTAGATGAAGGAACTCTGACAGCCTGTCATTTCCACATTTGTGGGGGATCACAACGAGCACAGCCTGTTTGTTTTGTGCGACATGACTGAAATTTCCTGTTTATCTTTGGAACAATTAGGGTGAAAAATCATATTACTCATCAGAGCAAATCTGAATGCACCATGATTATTAATAGCTGATTCCAAAAGGGTCACGGCGAAAGGGAGTCATAGATAATAAAAAACAGATGCTCAAGCAAGCATATTTTAAAGTATCTTTGTGTTGTAAGGAAGAAATAAGCTAACTGCCAATCAGGGTATTGTGGGAAGGCTGTGTGAATAATAGATTTTTTTCTTTTTAGTTCAGAAACTGAATTTAATTTTTTTTTTTTGGGGGGGGGGGGGGGAACAGACAATTGAAGGTGAGATTGAACTGAAATACAAACAAAACCCAAGATTGTGTCTCATATTGAGAGAAATGTTCCATATAAGGGAAAATAAAGGCAAATTCACAGAACTGCCAGAAGAAGATATTATCATGTTTCTTCTTAACCACTGCATTAGAGGCATTCTGGCTCTTGTGTCCTCTCTCACTCCTTGTCTCAATAACTATTAAATATTTTATCCAACATGAATCAGCTCAAATAAGGTCCTATTGAGGGAGCTCCACCTCCGAATACAAAACAGGTGGGTGGTCAGAATATGCTCTAGGCTGAGAGATGCTTAGGGTGATCTTGGTTCAAATCATTCTTCTAATATATTTGTGAAAAAAGGAACAACACCAAGAGGAAAAACTGCTGGTCCACCCAACAGCCTGCTTGGCAGGGCCCTCCTCTCATACAGGTTCAAATCCCCTCAGGCAGTGGAAAGAAATTAGTCTGAACTTCCCACAGCCTGGGTGAGTGCTCCAATCATTCACTTACTGGATAAAGGTTGGCCAATGCTGTCTTCATTATTTCTGTGCAGGAGTGGATCTAGGCAGGGGCAGTGGTATAGTCACACCCTGCTTTGGCTGTACACTGCATGCTCAGTGAGTTGCATGAGCTCACAATTTGGTTGGTGTACAGCTCTGGAGCCCAGGGCATCAGCACAACTGCTGTTCACCTCCTACTTTTTCTCAGCCCCTAATTCA